CTAATGACATACGTACCTTCTGTAGGAAGCGCATGGCTGTTGGAAGCTTTTGCCGCAACTCGTTGCACTACTTGCACTCGTTGCTCTCTTGCGTTTGCGGTAGCGCTGCGTTCAGTGCCTCGATACCGGTTCTCCACCTATCCAGTATCCTCGATCTCGAAGCCTTGCACTCCCACTATCTCGCGGCTCGCTCGCGCATCTTCCGTTACAGCTCGGGTGCTCGCTCGTCTGCTAGTCTACGTGTTGTTGCGTCGCGCGGGTACTTAGTACTGAAGCTCGGCGGGTCCGAGTCCGGCGCAGGCTCGCCGATCTCTCGTCGCTCGCGGCGCCTGTCAGGGAAGGGGTTGGGAGATTCTTCTTCCCGGGCCTTTCTCTGGACCAACCGACTAGCCGAGATGACCCAAGTTGAGCGACCCATCGACGAGGCTTCGCACGGAGCTCGCTGCTTCTCCAATCCATTTTTAACAGTGAAAGTTAACAGGGAATGCGAGAACTGCTCGCTTCCGAGGCCACTTTTGTTTAATGACGAGTCTTTTTCGTATTATGATTAAATAGAATCGACTCGAGCACGTTTACCACCCGAATTATCCTTTATATTATGCCGACAATATATGCCGACATCGTTTCGGTCGAATTTTTGTCTATTTTTTATTTTTTTCTTTTTGCCAATGGGATATTCGTTTTTCCACGCATACTCCAGTTCAATGACATGGAACAATCGTAATCTGTATTTGTCAATTTATTTGAAAAATTGTTTATACTTATGGCTTATGATAGCTGCAAATTTACAATAAAAACTATGCCTGTAAATCGCCTGTAACAGCAGCCTGTGCCAATAACAGATTTATTTATACTTCTTTCAATATTGATCAATATATGATCATTAAGTAGCAATTAATTAGATACATTACCTACTTAAATACATGCTAATTTCTTGAATTCTATAGCACAGTAATTGCCAATATTATAATAAATTATAAGAATTTAAGCGACTTTTTTATTTCTCGATAAAGGATTTCGAAAATTTAATTTTGATTAATTATTATTATTATTTTTTTTTTTAAAACAATATCATATTATATATGCTAATTGGTACAAACACACAAACTCACACACACACACACACACACACACACACACACACACACATCAAATGATCAGATTATATAAATGACTGTTCGAGAATTATTTTTATTAATTTAAAATATATTGGAATATTTTAATAGTTTAATAGATTCATTACGGTAATTATTTCCAAATTACATGATGCACAGGTGAATTAAGCCTTATTACATATAATAAACAGCTTTTATTATTCTTCACTTTTTAGGAATAAATTATTATTTTCCCTATATAATTTGAAAAGCGTATGTCAATTACTTAAGCTATGATGGTAAACGTATGTTTATGTGAATTTGAGAAGTGTTTATTTTCATTTTAATTAAATAGTTCCTAAATTTATTCACTTATGATTTATTTTTGTTGTTAGTTTGTTAATTTTATTTTATAATTTTTATTTTAAAAATTACTGGGATTGAAAGATTTTTAAGAAGGAGAAGCGAATAATGTCACTAAATATTTTTACAATAAATCAGTAGACTAAATATAAAGCGAATAATATGTAATAAAAAATGAAAAAGTTAGCTTTTGTAGAAATTTTTTTTATAATAAAATAACTAACATCTCATACTATACACGTGTAAGATTAAATTTATTAAAATATATAATGATCGTAATAATATGTTCTAAATCAATTGTGTTTTTTATGGATAAATATCAATAAATTTTTATGGACTTCTGTCTGACTAGTGACGAAAATAATTTTAAGGGTTTTTTTTTGGCAAACAGCTTTTCAGATAATTTTCATAGAAGTCAAAAGCGATATCGCAACAGATATTATCCATAGCTATAAAGAAACTTTTCACCTTCATTAAAGCTGAATTTGAGAAAGGAAAAAAATACCCGAGACATTTCTTCCAGGATGGACTATGAAAAAGTTAAATATGTAAGATATCGTGATGTGTACACACGTTCGATTACGTGTACACATACACAGGAACAGATTCAAGCGTTTTTTTATACATGGAGAAAGAATGCTAGAACTTTCATTCATTGCTAATAGTTATTTTCGAGACGTTAATTTCGGTAACGTCAAAGACAAAAAGTATTTCAGGTGAAAATTTTTCATCTATCGTATCTTAACATTCTTCCTTACTTCATGATCATTATCAATTTCGATTTTTAAGCTTCACTATTTTATCGACATTTTATTTTTTATACCAGTTGTTCTATTTCTAATAAGTTAAATATTATATGAATTATCAATTTTCGATGCCAACTGAACTAATTAAATAGCATTAAATGAATAAAGTATTCCCAAAACCAAATATTCAACATGACTATATGGATAATGCCGCGTTAAAATAAAATGTCAGTACTCTGATTTAAATTTCGTATTTATTTAGGAATATATTATTTCACGGTAATTTCGAGATAAATATTTAATGAAATTATAAAATCTCAATAAACAATGCGATGGTAATTAGTATTCTTATATTTCATTGAGACTTTATTGGCCTTGTTATTGATTCACATTGATCAAATATGTTTATTTTTGAAGGATCTATTATTTAAAGTAAAACAGAATCATTCGCGTCTATTATTTCCATTCCAAATAATCTTGACAATAGGAAAGACTATCGTTTATCTTATACTACACTTATGCATGCGTTAATTAGAAGTGTAAGTAGAGGCCTAAGCAATACGCAAGGAGATATTTAAATTTATGAATTATAATCTTCACAATATTATTTGCGTTAATGAATTGATCGGCAATATCGATATATACACGCAAAAACATCATTTTTCCATAGCCTTTCTTGTTTTACGCAAGTTACTATACATATTTCCGGGTGTTATGGAAGTATATAAAGTATTTTTTTTTTTTGACTGCACCTCCTACGCTTTCATGTTATGGAATTGTACAGACAGAGCATTGATTGATTGTGCAAAAAGATTTTAATCGTTTATTTGTATATCACGAATTATTCTTCTATTTTATTGCTTCGACATTCTTATAAATATGGATGTTGTTTTGAAATTCCACAGACGACATTACGGATTATATTTAGCATAAGTCTTATATTTTTTAGAAAATGTCCGTTTATTCTTAAAGATATACGCTTAAAATTTATGGCATATTGCATATACAAAATTATTAGAAAAAAATTAATAATAATTATGGATTTATGCATTTATTTGCCAATTTATTCTTAATCATTTTATAGTTAAAATTATTAAAAATTGTTTACGTAACTATTATTTAAATCATATATGATGATGACTTCTATTAATTCTATCAATATAATATTCATTTGTTGTTGTTGTTGTTGTTGTTGTTGTTATCATAATCATCATCATCATCATCATCTTCGTCATCGTCGTCATCGTCGTCGTCGTCGTCGTCGTCGTCCTCGTCGTCGTCGTCGTCGTCGTCTTCGTCTTCGTCGTCGTCGTCATCATCACCATCATTATTATTATTATTATTATTAATATGAGTATAGAATTAATATTATGAGTATAGAAATTTTTCAATTTTAGCTTTAATGATATTTGAAAGTTGTATACTAAGGTGTCATCTATTCTTAATAAATACATGCATTTAAATGTATTATTATATATTTATAGTATAATCATAGAACTTCTCGTTTATTATTTAATTATATAATGGGGATTTTATGTTCATGTATATTTAACAGTCAAAGTATATATTTAATTATAATTTTCACCACCCCTAGGCATTTAACACATTTACTTCGAAGTTTTTTTTTTCTATTCTTGGAAGTAATTGGTTTATTAAAATACAAAATCTGATTAAAATAACATCGTCAGAGCGAAAAGAAAAAGACGATAAGGTAGCGCATATAGAACTGATTATGTTATGAATAAGATGCCAGCTTGTAAAAAGTTTCCTCTTTTTTTTCAAACATACGAATATTTTCATCATCGACAAAACGTTCACATCAGCGTTTCTATTTTTCCCGACTTCGTAGTAATCATTGTAAAAAGTCATCGAACCTTGCAATGTATTAACTTAGAAAAAATAAAATTAAGTACTTCGGGGAAGCAATTGCAAAGGTCAGCCATAGATACCGCAGATATTTGTTATTGATTATGTATTAATTACATAAAATAAAAACAATAGAAAAATAGTTTTTGTAGTCGGAAAACGCCTTCCTTTTAAGTTACGTTTCATCGGCAATGAGTTGACATAAGCAAGTCTCGGCATTGCTTTAAATACTCACTATGTAGTATCTCATTCGTAATTGTCTTGTTTGTTTTGAATTGCCTGTACATGGTATTTTGTAAACGAGACAGATGGAAAAAGGCGTTACAGCTGCTGCTGTTTGATTTTCTTATGTATAAAAAGTAGCTCAAACTTCTCGTCCTTAGATGCATTCACGAGGTCGTGACTCGGCAGATAAGAGATAGAGCTTGTCTCTAGTTCATCCTTCCCGTCGTTCGACCGTCGGCTCTTTCCATTTTCCTTTCGCCACGCTGGAGAAAGACGCGGCGAGAGTTTCGAAAGGAGCGGAATTTCGGCCGCACGTCGCATATTTTTTTTTTTTTTTTTTTTTTTTTTTTTTTTTTTTTTTTTTTTTTTTTTTTTTTTTTTTTTTTTTTTTTTTTTTTTTTTTCTGTAGCCACTCGATGCGAAGGTATTGGTTGAAGCTATGAGTTGAAAGAGAGCGCGGGACGATCCGTTGACGGCCATTTGGCGAACGTCCCGCGGCCTTTCCTTAACACGTACGCCTATGTGTACACGCGTATGCGTGGCTCCGCTCGTCCTACTTGGGGCCAACTTTCACTTGCGTTACTTGGACATAAGAAGTAGTTGGTGGGGAGAGCCGATGTGTATCGCTGTATATCGTTATGTATCGGCACCGACCTGCAAGGTGATTCCGATAGTGTGCCTTTCGCGCACTCGCGTCTGCAATCATAAACAAATACATAATCGTATCGGGCTTGAATATATGAATTTTATAAGTGTGCATGCTTATTAGTTTCAATGGTGTGTCGTGCATAACTAGTACACCATTTATTCGCTCGTCCTTAATTTTTCATTTTTTTTTTTTTTTTTTTCTTTAGACATATGGTTTTTCGTAGCTTGCGGACTCTACCAATTCAACTAGGAAAATTAAACCAGTTAAACCATAAATCTTTAACAATCATTATCTAATTTCTAGCTTTTAATGCTTTTCAATTACTTGCT